AAAATTGTTTTTTGCCGAGAATTAGTTGTGGTACGAGTGTCTTCAGTAAATGAACGACCAGTTTCTACTCCGCCACGACTCTGAAGCTTTGGCATGCCACCAGCAAACAATGCGCCTAGACCAATGCTAGATACAGACCCATCAGAGGAAACTCCCGGTGTAGGAGAAGAATTGGTCCTACCTAATTAAGCATTATAATAAATGGTTAAGAAAAACATGTAATATAAATGACTACAAACATAAAATTTCTTATTTAACAATTTACCTGCAGCAAGAGGTGATGACCGATCATTAGTCTGTGTAGGTCTTAACTTTTTACCTTGCTGAATTTGGCTTAACAAGGCACTTCGTGCGCCTGACGGCTGCGGTTGTGATGGTATAGAAGATTGTAATTTAGCATCAGACGGCGGAGATTGTGACAAAACCGAGGTATTTGATGCAGCTACGGGTGCTGGCGATGCAATTGATATATTTGGTGCAGATGGTGGCAATGGTGGCGCAGATGGAATATTTGCTGAAGGCGGTGGCAACGGTGGCGCTGATGGAATTTTTGAGGTGGATGTTGGCAATGGTGGAGCTGATGGAATATTTGATGAAGACGGCGGCAATGGTGGCGCTGATGGAACATTTGAAGATGGTGGCATTGGAGGTGCAACTGGAATATTTGATGGTGGTGCTGGAGGAGCAATGGGAATATTTGACGATGGTTTGGACGTGGTCGATTTAGCAGTAAGGGAGAATGTTGGTGGAGGAGATAAGCGTTCTTCTTGTTGACGCTTTTCTCTTTCAGCTTCTATTCTCCTCCTTTCCAACTCTAATTCCATAAGACGTGATGCCTCCTCCTTATCACGCAATTTTTTCTCCTTTGCTTTCTCAAGTTCCTGAGCTTCTATAAGCCATTTATTTTTTCTTTCCTCCTCCTGGCGTTTAAACTCTTCTATCTTTCTTAATCGATCTGCTTCTTGCTCTGCTTTCTTTTGCTTTTCAGCCAAAAGCTTTTGTTCACGAATACGCTCACGTTCTGCAGCTTCTCGTTCCGCGCGTTCAAGTTTTTCAGCTGCGTCAGCTCTCTCACGTACTAGTCTATCAGTGATCGTTGATGAACTAGGAGTCGATGTGGGTTTTTCAGATGACGGCTTATCAATACCCAAAGCCTTTAATCGTTCCTCCATTCTGCGTTTTGCTTCTGCCTGAATAAAAGCACTACGTTCCTCTGGAGTTTTTGCATCAGAACAGCTTTGAACAGAGCTGCTAACTGGACTATAACCCAAAGATGAAGAAGAAACTGATCGATTACGATCATGCGTATCATTTTTTGTAGATGAATAGCGAGGTTCACTATATTTTACTTTATCATAAGAATAATTACTTTGACTGTATTCTGTACGATAAGATAAGTTTGGAGCATCTCTTTTAAGTTCATCAATGAACTTCCTCACTTCTTCACCTACACTGGTTCCATCCTCCCATTTCCGGGCATCACTATCATAAGACCTCGTATTTCCCTCGATTCTGCGTAGCTTATCTTCGATTTCTTCCCGTTCTCTTGCAATTCGCATTATCGAGTCTTGAATCCTTGAAATATTTCTTTCAATATCTGCAACGCTTTGTTCTCTAATTTCTTTTTCGGTATTAACCCTAATCACTTCTTCATCATATCTTCTTGATGCCGATGAATCGGGTAAATCACTACCAAAATTAAGAGATTTCCCGGTCATACGCACCACATGGTCTTGTAACATAGCCTGTGCCTTCGCCTTAATTTTATCAGCCTCAG